CCCGGAAGCGGCCACTGCACTCTAGTCTGGGCGACAGAGTGAGACTCCAACTCAAAAAAAAAAAAAAAAATTATAGGTAAGAGTCTATAATTTCAATGAAAGCTGACTGTGTAAGATCTGAGACCGCGGGCTCGAGACCCACCTGGGCAGCGAGACCTCATCTCTACCATAAATCAAAAAATCAGCCGGGCCTGGTAGCGCATGCCTGTAATTCCGGAAGGCTGAGGAGGAAGGATCACCAGAGCCCAGCAAGTCGAGGCTGCGGTGGCCGGAAGCGGCCACTGCACTCCAGTCTGGGCGACAGAGTGAGACTCCAACTCCAACTCCAAAAAAAAAAAAAAAGATCTAAAAGACCATGAAGAAGCTATCTACTCTCAGCTAACATTACACTCATATTGCAGTGATAAGCGGATAGTACATAAAAATGCATTTCAAGTTTCACTAAAGTACAGATACACAGACGTATTCATATGAAAGTTGCATTACGGATTCCCAAATGCAAGATGTTTTTACTGGTCTACAGCAATAAGAAACAAATAAAATGTAAGGAGTGAGTTTCTCGTAAGGATAAATGTATTAATTTTTAAAGTCTGAAAGTACATTCTTCCTATTCTTATAATGCCAAAATGTCATTTTTAAAATGAAAAGGTAATGAAAGTATATGGTACTATTTCCTTTTAAAGGTCTTTACTTGGTAAATAAAAAATTGGTAACTTGGTCAGTCTCCAAATTTTCTTTCAATTTTACTATTTGTGAATTTTAAAGACTAGGAATCAATGCTCTTAAGTTACTGTCATGTTGTGATTAATAGATTATTTTTGCTGGATTCTTCTGCACAATACTTATAAATATTACAATAATAATACATTTTCTGTAAACTGTACTGTGTGGACCATATTCAAGTCCTACCTTATCTGTGATTCCATATGCCTTAAATTCCCAGTAAACCCACTTTTGATTAAACCTCTTTAGCATTTACAATCCATAGTTCTACAATTAGTAATTTATTACATACGCTGCTGTAGAGCTTTAAGTATTTTAGTTTTAACTGCTCCTTACAAGCATCTTGAAGGCAGGAACAAATCTGTACTCTTAAATATGGATAGTGAGTATCTAATAGGCATACAACGAGAATTTCATGATTGACAAAGAGATGTTCCATAATAAGCTAATCAAATTTTCCCAGCTAGTTTGTCCGCTAACCAGGAAAATGTTACAATAATAACACATTTATTAAATGCCTATGTGCCCTGACTCTTACTAGGTGACCAGATGCACTTTTCTTGTACTTGAAACAACTTCTTCCGCCTTCAGCACATTCCAGGCTGTTGTGACATTCTGGTTGTTAACATGCATCATTCACATGTAATAACACATTAGGTTTTCAGAAATGAGAAGCATTCATTTTAATTAAAGCCATTAGTTTACAAGGCAAAGAAGCAAAGTCATAAATAACTGCGTGTTACAACAGTTTAGGGAACAGAAAGCACTACTGCTTATTGACTGGCATTTTAGGGAACAGAAAGCACTACTGCTTATTGACTGGCATTTTCGATACCATCTACAAATGTGGATAACATCATTGTCAATAGTTTCATTTTTTAAAACTAAGTAACTGTGTAAAAATAGACGTCACTGAACTAACAATGTAAGAAAAATGTGAATGAGTATTTCTTATGTGACTTTGAAGTTTGCTTTTTTCTTGACACTTTCCAGGTCAAGTGAAATGTTGAGGGAGTCTCCCTGATTTCCCCCTCCCAAGTTTTAGTCAGGTGATCTTCCTGCATGCCCTCGCAGGGCCACTATCACTTTTGTCCTTCTGACCTATTATCTGTCTGGCTTCCAGCTCTAGGCTGTGAGCTACTGGAGGGCAGGATCAACCTCTCATTTACTTCAAGTCAATGTCTGCTATGCACCTCAATCACCTGGCAAATAAATGATTACTAAATAAACGAAGGAATAGATGAGTGAGTGAAAAAAATGACAGAAAGAAAGGCAAGCAGAATGAGATTAAATGCCTTTTTGGCCAAAATAAACTCTGCTATGGGACATTAAAAAAATGCTACAAATTTGGTTAACAGGTAGCTTAAGTAGCTCAAATCAGTAAGTTAAGTTATAATTTATAAAGATTCTGCTGCTGTTAAGTTTAGCAAACTTTACAGAAAAAAAAAATCAGAGAAGCTTGAGCCAAATTGATGTACTCACAGGAACCGAAAGAAAGTAGGACCTGTTATAGAGTTGAAGGAGGGCCTGAGTAAACTAAGTGGAAATAAAATACAGTAAATACAATTGTTTTAGAATACTACAAAGTGAAAACAAAGTAAGAATCCAATGTTTTCAGATAGCATTTCTTGAGAAATAAGATTTCCCCCCAATTATTCTCACTCAATAACTCAAATAAAATAAAATAAAAGGAACTTTTAAAAAAGATAAAAACATTACAAAATCTAATTTATTATACCAGATATTAAAATGCCTTCTATTCAAATCCCTCTAAGATATTCTTAATATTGTTAATAGTAATATTACTACTGCCCCATCCTTAATTATAATATCCCTTTTCATATAAAAATGTCAGCAAAGCATTTATATGAAGAATAAATCAACTGAAATTTACAGTTGTGCTACAGTCATTTTCTCATATGTACACTATGTCTGTAAGGACACAGAGCTGATGAAACATATAAGACAATGAATCAGGTTCTGGTTCCTACTTCAAAATATTGAAAAATAAAACAGGTCCAACAGTCAACGTGTGTAACAAATTTGGACTTACTTTTATAAATAAGAATGTCTATGTGATAAATGCAATGAGTAAACAAGAGTTAATTTATGTGATTTCTAGAATCGGAGAGTTTCAGCTGAAGGGATCTAAGGAGCCAGCTGAGCCCCAGGTTCATCTGTGAGTAAATAAACACATATTTCAAACCCTTAACGTCAAACGTGTGAAGGAACAAGCTGCAACCCCAGTCGAACACATAACACTTTTTGGCAGAAATTTAAGCTTCAAGTCATCTAAAAATATGCGACAGAAACATATCAGTTTTAATAATAAAACAAAGTCACCTGCTGAACAAAAACATTGTTGAGGTGACTGGCCAGTCTCCGGGCAAAATGCTCTCGCAGATCACTGAAGCGCTGCTGCTGCTGCTTGACAGCCAAAAGCATGTCATGGCCTGGGAAGGAACGACAGTTCTTGACTGACTTAATGGGTAAGAAGGTTTCCTCAATGTTTAGTTAAACATTAAATATTTCTAAAGTTTCGAAGAACTAAAAGTTTTCCTGGTTTGTTTATTTGTTTGCTTTATATAAGCAGGAGACAAAATGGTATAGCACCATTTTTCAAATACCTCTAAGATACTCTTAACATTATTAATAACAAGGTTATTGCCACATCCTTAATTATAACATCTCTTTCCATATAAAGATGTAAGTGAAGCATTTATATGAAGATTAAACGAACTGAAATTTACAATTGTGCCATAGTCATTTTCTCACATGTACACTATGAGATTCTCAAAGTGTGGTCCTGCCTCAGCATCACCTGGGAACTGCAAGAAATGTAGATTCTATGGCTTCAGCCCACACCTACTGGGGACGGGGTCTGGGTTTTGTTTTTGTTTTGTTTTAGAGACAGATTCTTGCTCTGTTGCCCAGGCTAGGCTGGACTGCAGGGGTGCGATCAGAGCTAACTACATCCTCAAACTCCTGGGCTCAAGTGATCCTTCAGCCTCCTAAGTAGTTAGGACTGCAGGCATGCATCACATTGCCCAGCTAATTTCAGAAAATTTTTTTGTAGAGATGAGGGCTCACTATGTTTCCCAGGCTGATCTCAAACTCCTAGGCACAAGCAATCCTCCTGTCTTGGCCTCCCAAAGCACTACCGTCACAGGTGTGAGCCACTGTGCCTAGCCATTTGTGTTTTAATAAGCCCTCTAGGTGAGTCTGATGCGCACGCAAGTTTTGAAGCCACAGCCTTGTGCTCTCTGGTCTAACCAAAGCATCTACCTTGTGCTAGGCTCTGTGGACAGCACTAAAGAAAGATGGTAATGTCAACTCCAGTTATTGATAGTCAATCAGAAAGAATGAAAAAGTTCTTAGCACCAATAGAAATAGGTTGAGAAATGAGTGAAACCTGTTTGAGTAGCTAATAATGTAACCCTAAACCACTTGTCCCATGTATTCCCTGACAAAATCTTTATACCAAGTTACAGGTTTGGTCTCAGATTTTTATCATCTCCAACGAACATACCTGGTCGAAGAGCTATGTTCATGCACTGCAGAAGTGCATCAGCGGCATTGGTACAGGCCTCAATGCCTCTGGAAGAAGCAAGATCTCCTTCCTGAAGGGCCTTTATATGCCCTTTGGCCAAGTCCATGTGGTTCTGGAATGCATGCAAATAAGCCACTTACACATGTAATTTTGGAACATTTACAGGCAAGATGCTACCCAATTCTATCAACAGGTCTTTGGAATTATTTCAAATGTTGTTCTCACAAGGAAATGAGAAAATGTTTTCAAATGGGTATTACATATTGTCACAAGCTTTTTTGGCTTCTGTTGGCAATTTATAATCATACTTACCACAAGGAATTCTATCTCAGACAGGAGTTTTACATTATTAGTATTACTAAGATGAATGAGGTGGTTGCTCTCCGAGATCTGATCCATTTGTTCTTTCACGCTTTGGAGCATCTCCTCGTAACTGCTGAGTTTCAATTCAATCTGATCCACCTCCTTTAGAGCCTCATCCAGCAATTTCATCAGGATATTCACTTGTTTTTCAGAGGCCATGATTGACTGGATGTTGGCCTGCAAAGTTAAAGACAAAAAAAAAAAAAGCCACTGTGTCATTTAAATGTGTAAAAGAAGCACAAAAATAAAATGCTGCTAAATCTCTTTGAAAGCAAAGTAAACAAAATTGATACACATCTACTTTGGTTTGTCACTTTATGTTTATGTTCCTCCACTTTTTACACAGTACCTCAAGAAGGCACAGCTGCTTTAATATCAAGGTTAGGGTCCATGCCTCAGTATTTTATATTTCCAAAGAACGCACAAGGAAGGTTCTGCCCCCAAATGTATCACCGGTAACGACACATTCTCATTTTTGTAAATTTAGGCATTTGGCCATGGTATCTCTAACAGATGCCATGAATACCATTTGTAGAGACGAATACTAGCAATAGAAATGTTCTACATTTAACATCCATGTGAAATTGTAAATAAAAGCATAATCACCAGTGTGACATCTTAGTTGAGAGGGTAGCAGTGGTACATCCGTCTTTGAAGGACATATGAAACCAATAATTTCTACTGTAGTATGCTGGTACTAACGGGATGTGGAAGAGTATTTGCCCACAAGATAGCTTCTATCATCTTTTTTCTTTCCTCTTTCATTTGCAACTGTTTTTTTTTATTCCCCAGGCAAAGCAGTAACAAACCACCATCCCCTTACAGCTATTTTCTAATTGATTCTGACTATCGATTCTGACTTCCCCAAAATAAGGAAACTGCCAGATCCAAATTCAAAGTGCAAAGAAATATGATGACTTGAAGCATATATACAATATTAATTAGAACAGAAAATATAAATCACTAAGCCATATTAAGAAGGCAAGTAACATGGAATGATGAAAAACGTGCTAGCCTGGGCAACACAGCGAGATCTTGACTCTAAAAATATTTTTAAAATTAGCTCGTCACAGTGGTACACGCCTGTAGTCCCAGCCTCTCAGGAGGCTGAGGCAGAAGGATCGCTTGAGCCTAGGAGTTCAAAGCTTTGGTGAGCTGTGATCGTGCCACTGCGCTCCAGTCTGGCTGACAGAGTAAGATCCTGACTCAAAAAAACAAAACAAGCAATCAAAAAAAAAACTTGGATAAAAAATTAAAAGAATACCATTGTATAGTTGATGCTGTGTTTTCACACGTTACCTTATATATACTATTCATAGTACCTCAAGTATAAATGAAATACAACTTTAATAGTCAGCAGGTGGCTGGGCTCAGTGGCTCAGCCTGTAATCCCAAAACTTTGGGAGGCTGAGGCAAGTAGATTGCCTGAGTCTGCGGGTTTGAGACCAGCCTGGGCAGCTTGGCGAGACCGCCTCTCTACAGTAAATCAAAAATTAGCTGGGCACAGTAGTGGGAGGCTGAGGCAGAAGGATTGCCAGAGCCCAACAGGTAGACGCTGGGGTGGCCATGAGCACTGCATTCTAGCCTGGGGAACGGAGTGAGACTTCAACTCAAAAAAAGAAAAGAAAAAAAGAGTCAGCAGGGCTCAGAACCCAATGACATCCCTTAAGTCACAGAGCTGGGGTCTGAATCTGCCCAGAGCGATTTCCTCCTTAACATTTTGAAATATTTTCAAGTCTTTGCTCCCAGAGAGCTTTGTAACTTGGACTATTCATATTATCTCTCTGAATCTGAGTTAGACCCCATGACTTCTGTACCTCTTCTGGCTGGGCACAGTGGCTTACGCTTGTAATCCCAGCACTTTGGAAGGCTGAGACAAGAGGATTGTCTGATCCCAGGAGTTCAAGACCAGCCTGGGCAACATGGTAAGACCTCATCTCTACAACAACTTAAAAAAAAATTAGCTGGGCATGGTGGTGAGCACCTGTAGTCCCAGTTACTCAGAGGCTGAAGTGGAAGGATGGCCTGAGCTCATCAGGTTGAGGTTGTGGTAGCCGTGACTGTGCCACTGCACGGCAGTCTGAGCAATAGAGTGATACCCCAACTCAAAAAATCAAATCAAACTTTCTTTAATCTCTGAGATATTTTTAAAAGGTTACCGTACCTTAAAAACAAAATAAACCCAAATGTTTTAGATTATTCTCACATTAAGTGGTGCTGTTCATTTAGACAACAGACTCATACTGCATACAAACTAAAAGGTTCTATCTATTCTAACATATTTTAGTGGAGAAATCTAAGATCTCTCCCTGGCTCTCCTGTTTTCACCACACTTACGTTGACTCTGCTCTCTTTTGGTAAATGATTCACTTATTCAGTCTAATTTCTCCCTTTCTAAATTGTTCCAATTTTGTTTCCAGTCCAAAAAATGCTATTCTTTGACAGTGAACTATTCTGAGGTGTTTCGAAGGCTGAGAAAATCAATCCCCAAGATGTTTTCTGACCATCTACTCTTTACTTTCATCACTTCATAACAAGAGCCTCCCCATCTAGGATCTACAAGGAACTCAAACGTGCCGAAAGGAAAAAAACAAACAGCCTCTTTAAAAAGTGGGCAGAAGACATGAATAGACACTTCTCAAAAGAAGATATATGCGCAGCCTACAGACACATGAAAAAGTGCTCAGCCTTACTCATCATCAGAGAAATGCAAGTCAAAACCGCATTGAGATACCACCTAACCCCAGTATGAATGGTCATCATTAATAAAACACCAACACCAGATGCTGAAGAGGATGCAGAGAAAAAGGAGCGCTTCTACACTGCTGGTGGAAAAGCAAACTAGTGCAACCTCTCTGGAAGATAGCGTGGCAATTTCTGAAAGAACTAGAAATTGACCTTCCATATGACCCAGCAATTTCCCTATTGGGAGTATACCTGGAGGAACTCAAATCATTCTACAAAGAAGATACCTGCACATGTATGTTTGTTGCAGCTCTATTCACAATAGCAAAAACATGGAACCAACCATGTTGCCAACCGAAACTGGTCTGGATTAAAAAAAAAACAACGAGGTACATATACACAATGGAATATTATGTAGCCATAAAGAAGGACAAATATATAGACTTCGCAGCAACTTGGGTGGATTTGGAGTCAAACATACTCAGTGATCCATCACAGAAACAAAGAATAGAGCACCATACGTTCTCACTCATAAATGAACCTTGGACAATTATACTCTAAGAAAAGTATTGGCACTAGTGGGAAACTGTCAGGGAAGCGGGGTAGAATTGGCAGTTGAGGAAAACTGCTAGGGGAGGGAGGGGCATACCTCAGCAACAAGGGTACCTGCATAATCAACATTTGTATATCTAACCCTGAATTGTACCCTATATCTTTATAATAAAAGATAAAAAAGAAATGGGGAAAAAAAAAAGAACTTCCCCAGACACAGAATCCCAGCCATTTGCCTTCAATGGCTTTATAGGAATTGTTGTATTCTTTGAACAAGAGCAGTGGCAGATGGATGATAGCTGGCAAAGTCTTGTAGGTAAAGAGCAGTAATTACACTAACAAGGCTTAAGTGCCAAGGCAGTAAAATATAAACCAGCCTTCTAAAGCCACTACACATCACTTATTCATAGGTTACAAGGAAGTCTTACCCCATCTAGCACCTGAAGCTCTCTGGACAGTTTTTCTGCAAAGGCCTCAGCATTCGAGACTGCATATTCACAGCCTTCCATCATTATTTCAATATCCTGCTCCTCTCTTGCATTTAACTCCTGGTATTCGTCCACTGCTTCTTCGTCACCTCCTGTCACACTCTGATTTTCGCCACTTGGAACAGATTCTTAAAGGGGGTAAAAATGCCAAATAAAATAGTCAAGAGAGAGAACTATAGCACGGTACTTACAGATAGACAAGATCAGTTAAAAGCATGGGTCACTTCTAGTGGCTGAAAAATAGGAGTGAGTCAAAATATATAAAAAAAGCTTATTTTATAAGGAATTTCATATGTTAATGAAATAAAGTCCTAAAAAAAAATAAAAATAAAAAGCATGCATGCACCCCAGTGCACTGACTTACAAGTAATAAAACAGGCTTTCATCAAAATTTCCCAAAACACAATTAAATAAATTAAAAAACAAAAACAAAACATAAAACAGGGAAGCACAAACCTAACCATTTTTTCCTAGCTGATGTAGTTGTTGCTCTAAAAAAAAAAAGTAGCTATGAGTTCAGTATACAGGAAAACCATTTGATTTCCTTTTTTTATTTTTGTTCTTTTCGTCTTTGATTTGTATATTTTTTCCAAGTAACTTTTAATTAAAAAGAAAAATGCATCTATAATCCACAATTTATGTTGGACATTGAAAATATTAACTGAATTTTCCACTTCATTGTTTAAAAAAATCTCACATGTGCTGGGCTTGGTGGCTCAGCCTGTAATCCCGTGCCTTTGGGAGGCTGAGGTAAGTGGATTGCCTGAGCCTGCGGGTTCGAGACCCGCCTGAGCAACTTGGCGAGACCTCATCTCTACAATAAATCAAAAATCAGCCGGGTGTGGTAGCGCACGCCTGTAGTTATAGCTACTTGGAAGGCTGAGGCGGAAGGATTGCCGGAGCCCAGCAGGTCGAGGCTGCGGTGGCTGGGAGTGGCCACTGCACTCCAGTCTGGGCGACAGAGTGAGACTCCAACTCAAAAAAAAAAACAAAAACAACTCACATATGTCAATAACATTTCTGAAGGTGAGCTATAGAAGCTTTCTCAATAATTCTAATGCTGCCGGGCTTGGTGGCTCAGCCTGTAATTTCAGCACTTTGGAAGGCCAAGGCGAATAGATTGCCTGAGCCTGCGGGTTCGAGACCAGCCCAGACAACTTGGCAAGACCTTGTCTTTACAATAAAATAAAAAAATAGCCCAGTGTGGTAGCGCATGTCTGTAGTTCCAGCTACTCAGAAGGCTCAGGCAGAAGGATCACGGGAGCCCAGAAGGTTGAGGCTGGGGTGGCCATGAGCGTGTGTGCCACTATACTCCAGCCTGGGTGAAGGAGTGAGACTCCAACTCAAAATAATAATAATAATTCTAATGCAAGAGCAACAACAACATGGCTATTTGAAATAATAAAAATGGACACAGTCTTCATGCTTCATAACAAAATACTAAGAGGTCAAATCTGAAGTGCTTTCTGGATAAATGTTTCAGCTCATTTTTTTTTTAAAAGAATACACTTAGCATGTGAGTGCTTCATATAAAGCTTGAGGTTAGGAGAGGTAAAATGAAAGAAATTATTTTTAACTACTAAGATGTTATTTTGCACGCTACATTAGGTTACTGATTTTATAGACTTAATTTAAATCGCAAACACTGGATGGTTTTAGTATTCATAATTTTATGTGAAAATGAATATTTACATTCAGCATGACTTGAAATATGTCCATTTGTCCCAGAACAAAAAACAGTTACTTTGAAGTAACAAAAGAGTCACTCTTGGTTGGGTGTGGTGGATCATACCTGCAATCCCAGCACTTTGGGAGGTTGAGGTGAGAGGACTGCTTCAGCCCAGGAATTTCAGACTAACTTAGGCAACAAAGTGAGACCTTGTCTCTACAAAAAATTTTTAAAAAATAACCAGGCGTGGTGGCATATGCCCATTGTCCTACCTACTCAGAAGGCAGAGGCATAAGGATCACCGGAGCACAAGAAGTCAAGGCTGCAGTGAGCTGTGATTGTGCTACTGTACTCCAGATTGGGCAGCAGAGTGAGACCCCAACTCAAAAAACAAAAACGAGTCAGAAACCAAAAGAGTCACTTTTAAAAATGATAATCAATGAGGAAGATTTAGATAACATCCCAGAAGAAAAAAAAAGAGAACTAAAACTTTTGGTTCAAGCAGTTACAAATTACAGTATATAAATTCTTTAAAGAGGCGTGGAAGAGTTCATTTTAGTTAAGTGCTTATTAGCCACTAGGGGGCAGGGACTGCCCAAATCGTTCTGTACAGGTCCATACACAAGTAGACATTAAAAATAAATACACATTTTTATGGCCCAGCGTGGCAGCTCACACTTGTAATCCCAGCATTTTGGGAGGCTGAAGCAAGAGACTCACTTGAACCTACTAGTTCGAGACCAGCCTGGACAACATAGTGAACCTTATCTCTACAAAAAAAATCAAAAAATGAGCCTGGCATGGTGGCGCATGCCTGTAGTCCCAGCTACTCTGAAGGCTGAGGCAGGAGGATCTCCTGAGCCTAGGAGGTTAAGGCTGTGGTGAGCTGTGATTGTGCCACTGCACTCTAGCCTGGATGACAGAGTGAGATACTGATTCAAAAAACAAAACAAAAAATCCTAAAATAAATACACATTTTAAAGAATCATAATAACTGCTTCGGAAGTATTTTCTGACCAATGAATGTCCTTTGAAAGCCAATAGTACTTTCATTTATTTTATTACTATATGGACACTTTAAATAATAAATCTGTCCCTTTACATAATTTCATAAAATATGCAACCAACGGTACATAACAATGGCAACTAATAAAAACATATGGAATAGAATAAGAAGAGGTGTTACGCACCTTCTGTAACTTTAGGCAGTTCTGGAGAGTAAAAAGGTATGAAAAAAGCAGAGGAAAGTAAGCAAAGGTGGGTGGAAAAGCATACAGGCTTAAATTTCAAAAATACTACCCATATTTCATTTGAACTTCAAGCTAAATTAAAGTTCAAAAGACAACATAAAAGCCAACTACTAAGTGGAAAGAGCCATAAGAAGCTAAAATTCCAGTGTTCACTTTTCTTACTCATTTTCTAATAGTGACTAAAAATACATTTATCTTTCTATTTTCTCTTAGTCTTTTAAGAAACAGTACTAACTAACCCTTAGAAGAGAAAACGGGGAAACGAATTATTTCCTGGGAATTATGTTTAGGTCATGCTCTTAGTCTAGTTATATTATCCCAGCCTTACCCAGACATTCCTCACAAAGGAACACAATGCAAAATACAGTTAGAAAGGACAAGATTCAGGCAAGTGAAAAACACATGAGATAACAGCTGGCATTTAAAAACTCAAGTCAAAGATTTTGCTTTTTTTAAAATCTGGCTGCAAGTAAAAGAATGAAAAAGAAAAGGTCACTTAACTCTACTTCAACTGCTAACAAAGTCCTCTTTAAAAACCTTATTCTGCTGAGAAGCGCCAATTATTTAACTCCAATTTTCAGCCATAAAACTACGAAGGTTGCCACTCCTAGCACTTATTAGTAGAGTGGTCTTACTGGGATGATTATTTGGCTCTTAAATGCAGGTGGGAATATTTTGTGTTTTCTAACATCACCCAAAACTTAGAGACATTTTTTTTAAAAAATGGGGATTAATGGCTGTGATTGTCAAGCCCCATTAAAATACGTTTTTAGACATTAATAAAGCTATTCCCTGAATTTCACTTAACCAAAGCAACAGTTATTGATTTTTAGAAAGTGATTTTCAAAATGAAATCCTTAAGGATCTTCTTAGTATTCTTAAAATGTATCTCAATTGGCCTGTAATCCCAGCACTTTGGGAGGCTGAGGTGAGTGGATTGCCTGAGCCCGTGGGTTCGAGAACCGCCCAGGCAACTTGGTGAGACCTTGTCTCTACAATAAATCAAAAATTAGCTGGGTGTGGTAGCGCGTGCCTGTAGTTCTGGCTACTTGGAAGGCTGAGGCAGAAGGATCGTTGGAGCCTAGCAGGTCGTGGGTGTGGTGGCCAGGAGCATGCCACTGCACTCCAGTCTGGGTGACAGAGTGAGACTCCAACTCAAAAAAAAAAAATGTATCTCAATTGAGTTAATGTTTATAGACATAAACATGTCTACACTTTTGTTTTATGTCCTGAAAAAAGTAAATACTTTCAAAAACAGCAATACTCTTCTCATTGATTTTGGTAATATTTCTTAATGAGGTAGATGCAAGTAGGGTATATATTTTCCTGTAAGATTTTCCTAATGAAACATATTGGCTTAAAATATGTCTTAGGCAATAAATAACATCTAGAAATACATAATATTTGAAAATATAATATCAAGCTTGTGAATCACTGACTCATCAGAATGTTCAACCATGAAATGGTAAAAAAAAAAAAAAAAAGCCATTCAAAGCTAATTAGATCACATTTCAAGGCATGAAAAATCACCATAAGCTTCTTGAAGGTCATTCCCTCAACACACTCAATTACCAAGAAATTGGGGACCAGTATTGGTAAGATGGCAATCCTGGGGGCTCCTCATAAGCCTAGCCCTACTGGTGTTTGACATATGTGACCTCCGTCTCCCAGTTCCAAGCATCAAGCCTAAAACCAGCAGTAGGCTGACTAATTAGTAAGCGCTACTTCTTACAATGTTTATGTCCTTATGAAAAGAAATTTAAAAGTATAAAATCTCATTGTACATTTTCAATTATGGTAGAGTTTTTTCCTTATAACACAAAATAATCCATAATAATATTCCTAAAGAAATACTGGTCAAAAATATCCTACTTAACTTCATGTCCAAGGATTTTATCCCGATAACCTAATAACTAATATTTGATGAGCACTTATTGTGCACTTGGCCACCGGACACTGCTCTTATTAAGTTCATACATTAAGTAATTTAATCCTCATAACAATCTTATGAGGAAGCTACTGTTATTACCTTTATTTCTGAGATAAGGGAAATCCAAACATAGAAACTAAGTAGCGACGCAAGGTCACATAGCTAGTTAGTGGCAATATCAGAATTTGAACCCAGGCAGTCTGACTCAGAGTTGCATTCTTAACCATTATAGCTACACTCTGCACAAAAATACGTTACAAATATTCATCCCAGAGCTGTTTAAAATAAGCAAAGACTGGAAAATTAAAATAAATGATTAAATTATGATATATCCACATAATGGAATACTATTGAGGTAAGTATTTAATAACATGAAAAACGTTCATGATACATTATATTTAAAAGAGTGTTAGAAAACAATATAGGCTGGGCTTGGTGGCTCAGCCCGTCAACCCAGCACTTTGGGAGGTTGAAGCGAGTGGATTGCCTGAAACTGCGGGTTCAAGACCAGTCCGGGCAACTTGGCAAGACCTTGTCTCTACAATAAATCAAAAATTAGCCAGGTACAGTAGTGCACGCCTATAGTTCTGGCTACTTGGAAGGCTGAGATGGAAGAATCACCGGAGCCCAGCAGGTCGACGCTGTGGTGGCCGTGAGCATGCCACTGCACTCCGGCCTAGGTGACAGAGTGAGACTCCAACTCAAAAAAAAAAAAAAAAACAGAAAGAAAGAAAGAAAACAATATAAATTTATTTTAAAAATAGAAAAAAACTAGAAGAATATCTAACAAAATGTTAACAGTAGCTTTCTCTGAGTAAGTGATTTTAATTTATTTAACTTAATGTATTTATAGTCTACAATAAACAAGCATCATTTCGGCAGTAAGAAAAGTTACTTTAAAATTCCTTTCCAATATTAGGTAATTCACTATTCTTATAACTTTGGATAATGTCAAATTACATATTTTCTTAAACTTGATTTTACGTATACACTTTTATTTAACTTTACCTTCCAAAAGTTGTGAGCTAACATTGACAAAATCAATTTTCTTCCGGAGATATCGCTGATTCAATTTCCAAATGCATGAAATAAATGCATTCTTTTCAGCAGTACTGCTAGCAACCCATTTATATATTTTTTCAAAGTGTAAATCAAATTCAGGATTTTCCTACAATAAAAATACACAAAAGACAATATTTTTTATCATATACCTCTTGTTAATGTAAAATCTACATTTTAAAAAAAAGGAATTGATGCTGTTCTTGGGGGGAAAAAAGCTAAGAGACATGAAAAGAAGGATTCAGAGAATTCCATATATAGCAAAAATGTTGTACCCCACAAAAGAAGCTAGCCGAGAAACCACATACTGCTGGTCATTTTCCTCCTACACCCATTAGGTCTATGGGTGGAAGTACAGGATGGATGCCCAGTGGCTTTGTGGCTCAGCTCCCTCACCAGTAAGGTGACAACGGTCTCTAGCTTGGACATGAACCTAATTTTTCTTTTCAAATTGCCTATGGAGTTTTAGAGTTAAACCTTTTCTTTAATAATATGCTATTTTTCATAAGTGTGATTTGACATTCACTCCTTAATAAGGACTGTATCTCCTAATTACAACATATGAGAACAACACAATCTGCATTCTGGTATACCTTCCAAGAACAAGTGAAGTGAAAAGCAGAGACCACTCGTGTTTTCTAATTTGCAGATAAAGGTGTCTCTAAAGCCCAAAATGCTGGTGGGTCTTAAAGCTCTTTCAAGTGATAAAGAAGTTCAACCAATCTGAGAGAATTACCCTATGACTTCTACATGTCTCTTAAGCCATGTTACGGCAATAATTCCATTCCAGGTTAATATTTCTCCCTTGAATATAGAACTACTTGACTATTATATAAAAAAAACCTTTCTTCACATTCAAGGAATTAAACAATAGACTCAAATGTTCTTAATGTTCTACAGGACGTAAGAATAATAATATATTTGATTCATTTAAGGTATTACTGAGGGGAAACAAAAGTAAATACCTTAAAGGTAAGGGAAGCTATATCAAACTTCTACTGTGAAGAACTGGGATATTTTAGGGACCAGGACTTGACCTTTGGTATGACAATCATATTACAGCAGCATGAAACGAATTACTTCCATTTATAGCTTAATAAACAGAATTGAAGTGTAAAAAAAATTAAAAACCTGCATTTACAATGAAAAGGTAATTACATTATTACTTATAAAAAAAACCTGAGACTTCTGGCAACTAATATGAAACTTTATGGGAAATGATCTCTTCCCTGGGAATATTTCCCATAATGCCATAAAAGAGGCTGAGTGCTCTAGTGGCAACACTCACGCAAATCAATGTGTGATACTAAATGGCTAATGTTAAGCTACGTATAAAAATTTTATGTTTCATATCCATATATAGTATACACACACCAAGGTGCCTACACAAAATGAAAAAAAAATCCATCAAGCACGTCACAATGAGGCGTCAGCTGTGAGAAAGCATTCAAATAAGCATTCAGTCATGTTGCTGAATTGTGCAAGTCCACAGGGCTATGAAGTACAAAACTACTAGGGGGAAAAAGGCTTTTTAATAAAGGCGCATTTTTAAAAAGCTCTTAAAGCATTTTATCTTAAACAGGAAACTACCAAAAAAGTATCCATTCTTGATCCTTCCCCATGGTAAAAGAAATTATTTATTAAAGTGTTTTTCAGATGTTAATCTCATTCTACTTTTTTTTCTAATCTCTAAGGATCTGTCAAACCCCGTTTCTCATTCCACCTTTTTCTAAACACTGGGTGCTCCTTAGGGATAAAGCAAAAGCCCAGTTTGCCTAAAATACTTACTACAAAAAGGTATTGTTGCATTAGGAAGAAATCGGAATTATACAGATATGCAGGGCTTTCTTAAAATTGTTTTTACCTTTTTTTTGCACGTGACTCAACTACCCATCATTTTGTCCAGATTTTCAGTCCTCAGAGGTTTGTAACAAGGTAAGGGTAACACCAGAATTTCATCTTATCAGATTGCTTCACATAAGTAGTTTACTCCTCTGTGCCTTTAAGTAAATGTCTGAGACTTGCCGAATTCAATCAAAGCACACCTGTAGTTTCATTAGCAGAAGCTTTAGCTACTAGTCCCATTAATAGTACAAGTTGTGGTGCAATGTGTTCCCTAGTGTTCTGGAGGTGCCTTTGGGCTGCAGAGGAAGTGGAGGAGCAGGGTTAGTAAGTATAAGGAGGAGGAAGCACCTAATTTAATCAAAGGAGGTCTACCTGATTTCCCTGAAAAAAGGGTAGTGCTGTGAAAAGCCTTGAACTGTTAGGAATACAGGTGGTCTTCTAACATGGTTATCATACTAGTCGACTTTCTTGGAGTTTGACCGTGGCTTAAGTATAAGGTGTGAGATTTCTATTCTTATAAATCTTATCCTTTTCATTCCTTAACATAAGTTGTGTAACCCACTATCACTTCCTTTACTTGAATCACAGACATCAAAACCATAGCCTCAAAAGGTGACTCTACACTAACTCATGAAGACTAACTAAGGAAGACTCACTTTGGCTATAATACACATGATTTTAATTTTAAAATCCATACTAATTTATGGATTTTATATGAAGTAACCTAAATACTGAAATATATATCAAGGTTATTTTGCTCTAGTTTGTATAGCTTGTGCACAAAACTTAACTGTAGCTTTAAAAAACTACAAAACACGAAGCATACGTATTTACTTATTTTTAGTAGTCTAAGAGTGGAAGGAGAGGGTAGAAGGTTGACTAGCACATTTTAGACTAATTCTTGCTTAGCTGGTAGACCAGCAGTGACAAAACAGGTTTAGACCATCTTATTAGAATACATAATATACTAAGTTATAAAATGAAAAATGCTTTCTGAACATAGGTCAAAAAACTAAGAAAAACCTACCTTGATAGCATCTTTGGCATCGACCACAGCGAGGTCTCGAAGGGCCCAAGCAATCTGCCTTTTGTAGAAATCCCCCTTATCAGATTTCTTGACTTTGACCACCTTCACCTGCACAGGGCGTTCAGTTGTCACTGTTGAGTAAAACACACACTTCCATTAGGAATATTATTATCTTCATTCGTTGTTAATTAAGTCATTGCAAATATAGCTTTCAGGTACTTTCAGTATGTGATACTAAAAGTGGAGTGATACTTTGTAACAAGTGCTGACTGAGGGATGCACAGAATCCTAACAAGGGCATCTAAATCAGACTAGGGGGTCAGAGGCAGATTATTTGAGAAATAAAGCTTCAGGCCAGTTTTAAAGGACAAGTACAGGGGAAAATCTAATGAGTGAATGGCTTATGTAAAGCCAGTGAGGCTTGAAAGAGCATACTACCATTTTAAAGCACAATAATAAATAAACAGCTCAATAGAGATAGTACATAATAATAAGGTTAACGGAAGCGAAGTCACTAAAAGAGATGGGAGCGCAGATCACAAAGGTCCTTTAACTGAAGCTGTGGGAGTGCCATTGAAGGATTTTAATTAGAAAAATGACATGTTCTAATTTCCAGTTTCTAAAAACTAATCTGGCAGCAGAATTGGAGTGAATACCAATATATTTGAAAAATAAGTGGTATTCCTTAAAAAGTCCTAAAAATTCTCTAAATTAAAAGAAGCTTGCCAAAACGGACTCAAGAATAAAAAATACTATCATTGGTTTGATTGAAAAGTAACAGAATCAGAAGTTCCATTACTAATAAATCAATTACTTTGGTAAGTAAATCCTCCTCTTACCCCCACCCCCAAAAAACCTAGTCCAACAGTTTTGCTGGTATCTTTTACCAAGTTTCCAAGGAATGAATAACTCCAAACACACACAACTATTCCAGTGTATAGAAAACAAGGGACTACTTCTAATTTATTTTATAACTTTGGTTATAAAGCCTAACAAAGACAGGTTGAAAAAGAAAATTAAAGGACTATGTAACTAATGAACAAGGATGCAAATAGAGTAATTGTTATACTGTGTTGACAAGCCAAGGGATATACAAAAGATAATACTTCATTTCATCAAATCAGAGATGTACTTTTTTTCAAATTTAAAAATCTCTGAAATCCAGGTATGTCTTAGCAATAATGCAATATCATAGCATTTTTTAGTAGAATATGAAATAATAATATATGCTATAATCAATGGCATATGGTACATTATGATTGAGTCAAATTATTCTAACAAGTAAATTTATCCTTTGAAAAACCAGGTGTAATTATTCACCACACTTACAAGTTAAGGGAGAAAATTATATGATAATCTCAGTGTTATAAAAAAGCATAAAATTTGATAAAATTCAACATCCATTCATGATTTTTAAAAAGAAGCCAGGGATAGAAAGGAGCTTCCTTAACATTATTAAGAACAGCTACAAAAAACCTATAGCAAATATCATACTTAAAGGTGAAGTCATTTCCTTTGCGATCAGGACTGCATTGATGGTCCTAACTAGCAAACAATGACAACAAAAATAAAGATATAAAGACTATAAAGGAAGGAAGAAAACTATCACTATTTTCAGAGTCTATAGACAAATAATGAGAATAAGGAAGTGTAGCAAGACTGATAGACAGCTATATAAAAAAAACCAACTGCATTTCAAGATTCTAACAATAAGTGATTTTTAAAATGTAACAGTGTTGTTAATAAGGACTATTATTCATGACTGTATAAAAAAATCTAAGAATAAATACATACCCAGGAATATATCCAACAACATACATGCAAAGTTTTTAGAGGAAATAATGAAACTTATGAAAAGTTATTGTAAAAGATCTAGATAAATGGAGAACTGCACCATGTTCAAGGATATGAAGACTCAACAGCATAAAAATACAAGTTCTCTTCAAATTGAGCTACGGGTTCAAAACAATTCCAATCAAAATTCCAACAAAATTTGCAACTTGACAGATTGATTCTAAAATTTAGGTGAAAGAGTAAAGAGCGAAAACAAAATAAAAAAATACATCAGAGAATCCAGAAACAGACACACTTACAACATCATCAATATATATATGGACTCAGGTGGTATAAAGACAAAATTATAAAAATTTCAGAATATAACATAGAAAAATATTTTTACGACTGCTTAAAAGATATCCGGGAAGGATATCGTAAGACAGGCATCTCCAACCCCCTGGGGGTGACAGCGGGTGACCTGTTTGGAACTGGGCAGCACAGCAGGAGGAAAGTGGCAAGCGAGCCTGCCTCCTGTCAGATCAGCATCCTCCTGTCAGTGGCATTAGCGTCTCATAGGAGCGCAAGCCCTACTGTGCACTCCTATGAGATTGAACTGTGCGTGCAATCTAGGTTGTGCACTCCTTATGAGAATATAATGCCTGATGATCCCCCCAACCCCTGCCCATGGAAAATGGATGAAACATCCCTTTTGTGTCTCAAGACTGCTGTCTTGAGACACAAAAGGAGAACCCATAAGGATCAGACTGGTTAATTTTTTTGAATCAAAATTTTAAATTTTATTAAAAGGCACCATAAAATGTGAAAAGACCACCACAAACTGGGATATGTACAATCAACAAAAGATTAGCATCCAGATTATAGAAAGAGCTTGTACAAATCAGTAAAGGGACAATCAACACAATAGAAAAATGACCAAAGATTTAAGGAGGCAAATTTCATAGATAAGGAAAATGGCTAAGGGATTCATGAAAAGATGCTCAATCTCATTATTAACTAGGGAAACACAATACAAAATCACAATGAGATACCATTTCACTCCCACTAGATTGGCAACCATTAACAGTCTGTCAAAAGCAAGTGTTGACTAGGAATTTGTTAACCCAACAATCTTTCCAATTATAGAGATCATGAGAATATTTAAAACAAAGAGAAAACGCCCCCTAAGAAGTGAAAACATACTAACCCAGTAATTTTTCTTACCAAATACCCACCTGTGGCACATAAAAAACAATTCTTTTTCTTCTTCCCTGCTTTGCAGACATTCACAATGCTTAGCAGGCGCTCATCGTTTGGTGTAAAAATGTCTCTTTGCAATGCATGCTTGATTGCTGTCATCTTTTCTCAGCTAAAAAATTCAGAGTGTAGCTGTTAAATTCATTCTCAAGATCATTCTGCCTTATAGTGTTCCGCTGATGGTTCAAAAATGACTTTTGGTTAATAAGCTTAGCAAAAAAGATTATTTAATATATGAATATACCTACATCATAAACGTATAAAGCTGTGAGTTTGGAAATGAAATTAAAGCACTAGTGCTATCAACCTCTAAAATGTTTGGAAATGCTCATCAAATACTATAACACAGACACAAACACATATGCAAGATCTAAGAAAAAATTTTAAAACTCATACTCAACCTTTCAATATGGTTTCCTATATACAAATGAAATTTATTTATTTAAAAAATTGTGCATTTATTCTTTCATGTTTAAACTTCAGTCACCTTCAAAGTACTCTCTATTTAATGCAATATTCCTATAGAGATGCTTTTTCCACAGCTCAAAACAGTTTATTTAACTCATCAATTTGTATGCCTTTTAGTGCTTCTGCTGTTTTTTGATTCACCTCTTCCTGGCAAAACATTTCCCTTTGAATACTTTTTTCATCAGGGAAAACAAAACAAAACAAGTCAAACAGGGTGAGATTGGGTGAATGGGGAGGGCAGGCATGGGGGCCATGCCATTTCTGGTCAACTACCAAACACTCAGCGTGGCGTGGGCAGGTGCGCTCAGTAAAACACCCATCATGAAATGGGCAAATGCCTTGAAAGAATCTTAAAAAAAAAAAAAAAAATAATCCCCAGAGGCCGAACGCAGTCTCTCACAACAATGCTAGCTGGTACACTAATAGGTTCCTAGAACACTTACCTAACAGGGAAAGCTTGTACTACAAGGGGCCCAGCTTCCAAAAGATAATTTTGAGTTTTTTGGGGGGTCCTCCCTTGTAAAGAACTCTTACAACCCAACAAAAAACCCCAAATAACCCAATTAAAAACTGAATAAAAGACCTGAATAGCTATTTCTCTAAAGAAGATATTCAAGTAGCTAATAAGTCCAGGAAAAGATGCTCAACACCATTAGCAACTAGAGAGATGCAAATCAAAACCACAATGAGATACCCACCACTAGAATGGCTAAAATACAAACAACAGAAAATAACAACTGTTGGTGAAGATGTAGAAAAAATGGAACTCTCGTCAGCCATGATGGCTCATGCCTGTAATTCCAGCATTTGGGGAGGTGAAGTCAAGAGTACTGTGTGAACTCAGGAGTTCGAGACCAGCCTGGGCAACTTGGTGACTTTGTCTCTACAACAAATCAAAGTATTAGTCGGATGTGGTGGCATGCGCCTGTAGTTTCAGCTGCTTGGAAGGCTAAGGCAGGGGGATAGCCTGAGCTCAGCAGGTCAAGGCTGCGGTGGCCATGAGTGTGCCACTGTACTCCAGCCTGAGTGGCAAAGTGAAACTCTGACTCAAAAAAGTCAACAAAGAAAGAAAATGGAACTCTCATACGTTGATGGTAGAATTATAAAACAGTGCAGTCACTGTGGAAAACAGTTTGGTGGTTCCTCAAAAAATTAAACATAAGTTTCAAACATGATCTTGCAATTCTACTTCCAAGAGATCTGAAAACATACATGTCTACACAAAAACTTGTACATGAATGTTTGCATTATTTGCAATAGCCAAAAAATGGAAACAACTCAGATGTCCAGCAACTGACAAGCAGGTAAGAAAAATGTAGTATAGTCATAGAATATTATTTGGCTGTAAAAGTATTACACACTACAACATTTACAAATCTTGAAAACATTACACTAAGTGAAAGAAGCCAGGCACAAAAGACCACATATTGTATGATCCCATCTATATGAAATGCCCAGAATAGGAAAATTCATTGAGACAGAAAGATCAGTGACTGCCAGGGGCTGGAAGGGAAGGAAGATGGAGGAGTGACTGCTAATATGTATGGAGTTTTTCTTGGGGGTGATGACAGTGTCCTTGAATTAATAGTAATGATGGTTGTACAACCTTATGAGTATGCTGAAAAATCACTGAATTATACAATTGAAAAGGGTGAAATTTATGATATGAGTCTCTCAATAAAAGTTGTATGAAAATAGATTTCCACTTATCTCCATTTTTTTCAATGTCTTTTCAAACATTAGCTTAAGCTAAAATATTGTTAAACTCTATTTTTCATCCATATGTGCGTGTATATGCATTTTTTTCAATGCAAATGTGAAAATAATACATGTCCTTGCCTAGGAACTGTTTCTTTTCATGGGAAATTGAAAAAGTCATGTGTTTTAAATAAATGATTTACAATGCATTTTTATAACACAAATGACACTTTTGTAAACTAGGGCTTTCCTGTATTTTACTCAATCTGGGAAACTTCTATCTGTGCTCCAACTCCAAAAATTGCTTTTCTCAAAAAAAAAAAAAAAAATCACATCTTCCCACTTCTAACCCTCTCTCACTTCATCTCAGCTTCTAGTCTTTTAACATGTCCTTCCTTCCTGTCCTCTTAGTCTAGCTGCCCTCTCCAAGCTTACTTCTTCTCCACTAGCTTGGAGGCTTGTGTTCATTTCCCTACCCACACTATCCTCTTCTATTATTGTACCGTTTGTAGACCAGTTCATCTTGTTTTGATCAATATCCATAAACTGTATTCTTTCCTCCGTTTCTCTTGGACTACCAGATGTCACTTACTCTAGTGTCAGCCTCCTCCCTCTGCAAATGACCTCACCGCCCACCTTTCAGAGAATAAAGAAGCCATGAAGTACAATTCTCCCCAACTGCTTTTTTCTCCATCTCTTTACACCCTCACCCATCCTAACCTCCAAGTGTCAATGTTGTTAATCTCCTAATTCTAGGGCCTAGATACTATGTTCTAGTTCATCCTATGCCTAAGACACACTGGAAAGTTTACTTTTCTATCTATGGGCTTTTGTTCACGCAATTTCCTTTTCCTAGAATTCTCTTCCCCCTGGGAAATTCCAGCTCATCCCTCAAGATAGTGCTAAAATGTCACCTTTTCTGTGAAGTAGTTCCCTTCCTCACAAATAATGATTTATTTTCTATTTCTCTAACATTTCCCCTCTACTCTGATAATGCAGTATTTATGAATTGTATTTTCTAGCTAATTATATTCTATTCCCTATTAAAGTAGTCATCTGTAGGTAAAAACCATGCCTTAATCATCTTTGTATTCCTAGAACTTGGCAAAGTAAACACTTAATAAATGCCCAAATTAACTAATACAACACCACCAAATAACATAACAGCTATAGCTCCTCCAAGAGTCTCCCTTTCCAACTTTCACATCTATAAGCAAAGTCCAGGTTCAAAATCTGCCATATTTGATTCTCCCCTCCCTTGTCAACACAAAATCTGCTACCATATTCTGTGATTTCACCCCACCTACACATAATTTATTCTTTCTTTTCCCATTTCCAACATACTAACCCAGGTTCGTATCAACTTTTAATTTTTTGAACACTACAGCACCTGGTTATCTGTTTGTAATCTTTCATGATCCTGAACAACAAGCAAATAATCTTAAAAGATAGTTTTCATCACACCCCGTCCTTACACCACATTTTCCTAATGTTCTCAAATACAAACCTTCCACTCCAAGCATTCTGTTTATTTTGGGCTTTAAATCGTTGCTTAGGCACTTTTCCTTGAAAGAAATATAATCTCCTCTATGCAAACTCTAATTATACTTCACGGTTTACATGAAGTTGATTCAATAAATAAAGATCTTAATCCAAATTGGTCTCTCTAAATTTCTACAGCACTTGTTGCATTTACTAAACAATCAAGCACTTGCTGTCTAATTGGTTCATGAGATCATGAGATTGTAAGCTCCTAGATAACAAGCTCGCTCTCTCTCATGCTCTATCCTAGTTTTGTGTTCTTACTTAACAAATACTTCTCGAGGTAACCTGAAGTGAATAGTAAAAACTGGTCAATAAATGACCCAGAGTTTCCCACGTAGTGCCTTTTTGGTCAAAAGCAACGACTGAGCGTTTGGTAGGTAAGCGGTGCAAGAAGAGCACTGGACATTTAGGCATAATGAAAAGCAGTAAGTGGCCATTCATTCAGTAAATACTGATGTCTACTAAGTGTCAGGCACTGTTCTAGACTGCAGTGGTGACCATGACAGACGAGTTCATGAAGACCCGTGCTTTCACGGCATTTACGTTCTACAGGTCTAGTGATCAGCTCTCCAGTCTTTACAGTGCTTTTCTGGAAGTCAGTATATAAATCACTAGAGGTCCTCCACAATTATTTTCCAGGTCTAAGAACCCGTATCTGGCCACGCTTCGAAGGCAGGTGGCCACTGCCTACTCTGTGTCGGTTCTTACTTCCTAAAACTCAGCTGGACCCTTACACCCCGTGACAAACAGCTGGTGAGCAGTGAGTGCCCGTGTGCGCTGAGCCGCGTGTGCCGTGGAGACATCTTAGTGCGTGGAACACTGTCAGCCAGCAGGGAAAACTGTGCCTAGAGGTCGGGAAATGCACTTAAGAGATTCAGGGGAGGGAAATGTGAGGGTGGACACGGGAAGGCACTGTCACGCCCTCCTCTCCCCGCCCACGCCAAGCAGCGTATGACCAGGGCCATTTTGCACAAATGAAATGTGGTTCTGATGGGCGGAACCGGAGAGGGGCGTGCGAGGATCTTCCCCCAGCTGTGCATTCTTCCAAACCCCAGGACTTCAAGGGGGTGGAGCATGCTCTGACCCGACTTTGCGCCTAACTGAGACAAGAGGGGAAGGAAAGGGAGGGCCTGACCACCGAGGGAGGGGTGCCTGAGCCCAGGGGCGCAGACAGCAGCGGGAGTGAGGAACCAATTCAGACCCTGACGCCGCCGGGACTATGGACAGCCGCGGCCGAAGGCTTACCGCAAGGCCGCACCGAGCCCGGCTGTGCCGAGGCGGGTCCTCCAAGATCGAGACTGGATGGGGCCTGGGCAGCCACTGCCACTGGGACGCACCCCTCAGTAAAGCGTTGAACGGGAAGCAGCCGTTCCCCTACCACTTCCCACATCCGGGCACGTGACCAACTCAGCGCCGGAAGTCGCCTGTAGAGAAGGAAGAAGAGGCGGTGGGAAAAGGGGAGCGGCCAATGGACGCGGAGAGGGCGGGGCGTCACTCGATGGGCGTGGCGAGGCGGAACAAGGCTTCGCGGGGGGGGGGGTGTAAAAGATCGGCGGGGGCAGGGCCTCTGTCGCGCGGAAACTGATTTGGGAGCGGGGATCCGATGCTGTGTGTTATTTACTTTCTCTAGAAGAGTGGTTTATTCAGGTGCTTGTAGCAGTTCATTAATAATGTTTTAATAATCAATTGAATGTTTTCTTTTTTTGCATATATAAAGCTCTGTTATCTCCAGATCCTTGCTACTTAAACTTTGACGAGCTTAAATGGACTAAATCAGAATCCCTGGAGGTGGAACTCAGACATTAGTACTTTTAATATCTTCTCAGCTGATTCTAATGTACAGCTAAGGTCAAGAGCCTTGACCCTCATGACCTTGTTACTCAATGTGTGGTCGGTAAACCAGCGGCTTGGGTATCATCCGGGAGCTTTTAAGGAAATGCAGCCTCTCCTGTGCGCTTCAGATCTACCGAATCAGAATCTGTATCTTAACAAGGTGATGTTTACACACATATACATTTGAGAGCCATAAATGATGCCAGTGTTGCTGGTTGCAAAGTAGGTGATTTATTTATTCCATATTCCTGGCACCTGTTTTATGCTAGGCATTTTGATTCCAGGTATAGAGGTTTTTTTCAGGTAGGACTGGACAATGTGCAGACACATTGGTATTCAGGTATTCAGGTAGGACTGGACAATGTGCAGACACAGATATATGCCAAATAGGACACAAAATAAATGACTGAAGAGAGGTATAGCTCAGATAAGTGAGCTGGAATTCAAAGGGAACAATTTATTTGCTCCTGCTCAATACAATCCTTTGCAAGGGGATGCCGGGATACAGTCATGCATGCATTCATTCATCTGACAAACAACTAGAACCACTTCTATGCCAGGCATTGTGTTAAGTTCTGGAGACACAAAGACAGGGATCCCGTTTAGAAGTAGGGCACGGTTATTGGGGACCCAGAATTAAACAGGTGAATAAATTACAGTCTAATGAGTAAATGCAACAACAACAGTAGGAAAAAAAAGAGACTGAATACCATAGGAATGCAAAAAAACCCTCCAGGAATGGAGTCACTAAAAAGTAACAAATGAGCTGTGCAAGGTAAAATTCCGTGTCTATCTGAAGATAAAACTTGGTGGAAAAGTTAGCAGGAATAGCAGGGAACCATTAATGAGCTTAATGCGCTGTAGTCAACACTACTTGTAATACTTGTTACTTTCAAATGACTTCCCTTTTAAGAGCAGGATCTAGTCCTATATTTACAAAGACCCCTTCCTGCTCAGCCTCGGACTGCTTCTGTGGACACTCTTTATATGACAGGTGTAAGTGCTTTCTTGTCCTATTATCTATCATTTATTTACCTGTATGTTTACAGCCCTCCTCAAAGTTGGGAAATGAAATGCATTTCAGGAGCCTAGATCTCTTCCCTGAACTCCAGATTTGTGTATCCATTACCCTACCACCTGACATTGCCACTTGGCTGTCTTATGGGCATCTCAAACGTGTGTCCAAAAATTAAATTCCCTTCTCCCTTCTCCTCGCCTGGATTACCCCAAAAGTGAAATTTATATCTAATAATTTATTTGAAGATTTGACCTGAGGGAGCAAAAGTGAGGGAAGAGGAAGGGAAAGAAGACAAAAGGAGGAAGGATGACACAATCTAAGGATGGGTTATTGAGTTGGTGGTCACCATGTTTGAATGTTTTCTGAATCCTGTAGGAACTTCTAAGAAGCTTTATGAAATGCGTTCAGAACTGTCCATTGTAGACAAGAATGAAGGAAGCATTTTTATGTCAGCTCCTGTCCTCTTTGATCAAAGGTTAATGGTCCTGAGCATTAACTACTTAACACTTCAAGTTGCACAGTTGTGAACGCCAAGCTAACTCTCAAGTCAGGGATGCGCTGGGGCAGAGAGTGAGAGGAGAGGTGCTGTCATTGTTGTACTTGCCCAAAGCTCAGCAAGCCCTGCTCAGAATAGGTCACCGGAGCCGTGGTTAGAATAAGAGGCTGAAGGAATTTGAAGTGATGACAGAAGGTACACAGAAGGACACAGATAGTGTCCATAACATTCCTCTCTGATCTGCTTGTGCCCTCTGCTATGTCCAGTCCATCACAGAGCTTCCCTTTCAGGTGACGAGCAGCCATACTCTTGGCAAAGACTTAATATAAGAAAGTTAATAGAGTCATCTTCAGTGTCCTTTGCAGCGCTGAAGTCAAGACCATTTGTATTCATGAATTCCGTCTTCTGCCCATCCTAACTTTCCGACACCATTGACCAAAACATCAGCTGGTCTAAGTGAGGTAACCCAGACCTTCAGCTTTCTTTTCCTTGCTCTGGTTGAGCCATGATTGCTGTAATTGCCTGTCCAGAAACACCAACACAAGCCCCAGCAAATTCTCTGGATTCCAGATATATTCCTCCCTACAGCCATTGTGTAGTAACAATTCCAGATCCCTTTGCTAATCACAATTGATTATTCCCACCGGCATAGTAACTCCTTTCTTTGTAGGCTGGTCCACTCCCGTGAGATGCACAAAGTAACCAAGTGAGAGTAAGAGTCTCAAGTACAATGAATTTCATACTGTGTATCCTGGTGGAAGCATCCACCACTCAACCCCTGGGGAACCAATTACTGCAATCTAGCAAAGCCTAGATGTAAGAGGCAGGAAACACAAATTCTGCAAGTCACTAGGAGTGATAATAAGATCGACCAAAGCTGCTCTCATCTCTGAATTTCTGGAGCCATGTCTTTAGCTGCTGGGGACACTGTTTGGTTCAGTGCATTTACTACATCTTGGAGGGCCACATCCCGAGCCTAGAAAGACATATTAGCTGAGCTTGCAATAGGCCATTCCACTATTTTAGAAGGCTAGCTGAATCTGAGTGATGAGGGCTATGGCAATATTAGTGTGCTCTATGGTCATATGTATATTGTCACTTTTGTTTTGGGCTATAAAGTGGATTCTTTGACTGAGGTCACGTTGATCAAGAATGCTATAGTTCTGGTAATTGTGAATGTTGGCAGAGTCACCGTAGGCAAGAATGGGAAAATCTAGAGGTTCATAAATCTTTTTTACTTCAGGCTACTTCTTCTTCTATAAAGTAAACAACAAAGTGTGCTGCTCCAAGCACTGCCAACTGGAAAGAGTCCCCCACCGGCCATTGTTCTTGTGAGCATCCCTGAGAGGGTCTAAAGCAGGCATGTCCAACCTGTGACCTGCAGGCCACATGCAGCCCAGGACAGCTAGTAAAGCTGCCCCACAAAATATTTTTATTTTTATTTTTGAGTTGGAGTCTCGCTCCATGGCCCAGGCTGGAGTGCAGTGGCACACTCACGGCCACCCCAGTGTCAACCTGCTGGGCTCTGGCGATCCTTCCGCCTCAGCCTTGCAAGTAGCTAGAACTACAGGCGCGTGCTACCATGTCCGACTAATTTTTGATGACAAGATCTCACCAAGTTGCCTGGGCAATCCACTCGCCTTGGCCTCCCAAACTGCTGGGATTACAGGCTGAGCCCCCGAGCCCGTCCACCACAAAATCTTTTAACATCATGTATCAGCATTTATTTTCTTCATGACCCCATATGTAGTTCCATTTTTGAAATTCACAATCACACCTCATTCATGACATCACTTTTCAGCAGCACCTACATTTGTGAGCCGCTATTTTGAATGATGAAGCACATGAGGAGCAAAATTCAAACAAACATTTCTGATGAGCACCTTGAGAGCTCACTCAGAATGGTGACCACTTTCATTGAGTCAGACATCGATAAATTAGTTTTACAAAAACAAGGTCAAATTTCCCACTAGTTTTACACTGTTCTTATTTTTCCAAACTTTATAATAAAAACATTTTGTAAAAAGAAGTCTTATAATGTATATATATTAACTATATTATGTGCGGCCCAAAACAATTCCTCTTTACTCAATGCAGCCCAGGGAAGCCAAAAGGCTGGACAGCCCTGGTTTAAAGTGTTGCAGTCCAATTTTACCTATTCACCAACATAGTATGTTGCCCATCTGTGAACAAGGCTCAGATGTTTTATTCTGTGTTAGGCAGTCATAACGAACTCCCAAGAGGCCATAGGAGTGACTTGAGGAAGTGTCGTCAATGCTATAAAAGTACGTGCCGTGGGAGTCTGAATCACACATTCATGTAATTCACCTGTGTCTTCTGGACCAACTTAGGCTGCTAGATCCTATATGATGTCCATATTTCAGTAGATTGCTCCTGTACTTAGGTTTTCCAATGGAGAAGAGTTCTCTACCTCAGAAGGCATGGCCCTGCAGGACTCTAGGGAACGGTGCAGCAAGTCTCTTACTGGAACTTTCCTGAAATTCACACAGTGCTCTTATTCATCACAAATCCTTCTACAGTAAGTTCATTCCAACATCCTTACTTCTGGGAAACATAGTCTCGTGGTGATCCTTCAGTCCATGTAATACATGCATTCTAATAGTCCTGATTCCCTGAGCCTTCTGAATTCTTTCTCAAAATGCATTTGAGATTGTTCTAGCAGACCCCCACATCCCACCTTCCTCTAGGTGCTCTGAGGGACCATGGAGGTGCCGGATGTGAGAGCAGGAACATGGAGACTCCAAGCCTGAGGCAACTGTTTCTCATTGGTGACATCTTGGTGGCCCAGTGGTGGCTCTTGCTCCTCTGCATTCCGTGAATCACATTCGCCTGCTGGCCTCTGATCATGCAGTCTTGCTTCCCAGACTTGGGACATGGTGCCACCTCCGTCCCAACTGCCTGACCCCAGTGTGGTTAGGAACAAAAAGAAGAAGCCCCTGGACTTTCCCTGGAGCCTTCTGTGTTGTTAAGCTTCAAGTAGAATTTGGGGGCCTTTTGACTGTAAGCCATACTTGCCTGATATAAATATAAATAAAGCCTCG